TCGATGACATAGTCATAACAGGCAATGACAAAGATCTAGTGCAAGGTTTTATAAGTTCACTTAACAAGAAATTTACTCTGAAGGATATGGGAAGATTGCATCACTTTCTTGAGATTGAAGTTGTATGGCACGACTCTGGCATTCACCTCACCCAATCAAGATACATTACTAACTTACTAAAAAGGTTTGAGATGGAAAATTTAAAACCGTGTCCTACACCAATTCCTGCTGGCAAGACTATCTCCAAGACTGATGGTGAAATGTTAACTGAACCTTCAATTTACAGAAGTACAGTTGGGGCCCTGCAATACCTCTCACATACAAGACCAGACATTACCTTCACAGTCAACAAGTTAAGCCAATTTCTACAAACTCCAACTTCGATTCACTGGCAAGCTTTGAAGATACCTCAAAGGCACTATAAATCATGGCTTATGGATCCACATGAGTGACGAATTGAACTTAATTGGATACTCAGATGCTGACTGGGCTTCTTGTCCAGATGATCGAAGGTCAACAACAGGCTACTATATCTATTTGGCTGATAATCTGATATCCCGGTCCTCTAAAAAGTAGCACGTAGTAGCTCGTTCTAGCACAGAATCTGAGTACAGAGCCCTTGCCTCCACTGCTTCAGAAGTTGCATGGATTCAATCGCTGTTTCAGGAACTTGGGCTGTCGCTAGTTGGAATTTCAACTCTGTGGTGTGATAACATGAGTGCAGGAGCATTGCTGCAAATCCAATATATTACGCAAGGACAAAACATATAGAGTTGGACATCCACTTCATCAGAGATAAGGTACTGGCAAGAAAACTTGAAGTGAAATACATACCTACCTCAGATCAGATTGCTGATTTGCTGAGGAAAGGATTAAGTCATTCAAGGTTTCTCTTTTTGAAAGATAAGCTTGGAGTCACTTCCTTGCCGTCCAACTTGAAGGGGTGTGTTAAGAATAATGGCTAGCTCCATTCACCATGGAATAGATGAAAATAAGCTGTCCATTACTTATTGCTATTGACTAGGGCAATAGGGCATTGAATAATAAGATTTAAAAAAAAAAATCTGCTTTTGTAAGTTAAAGCAAAGATACGACGATGATAAAATAATTACTGTCATTCTAAATATTTATATGATTTTTAATTATGGTCGCTATTGAATTGTTGTAACTTTTGATTGAGCACTTAAAAGTTTATCGTCTTTTGTAACGTCTTTAGCCATCTTTTTCTGTATGGAGAATGATATGTTGAGGTATCTTTGTTGATTCGTGGATTGCGTAGGTGGATGAGAAAGAAATAAGTTGCACGGTTTGGAGTTACGTGATACATAATGGAGTTACGTGATGGTTTACATATATAAAAAAAAGGTTGAACCCTGCCCCTGCCCGCCCCGTCCCGTCCCGTCCCTAGATCATTATGGAAGAAGTAAATCGTGAGATATGCCTCAACAGACTAGAGTACAAGAGCTGTCATACTGGTGCCCACAAAAAGTCCAATTACATACCTTGTAAGAGGCAGGAATCGAACCTCACACTGCGGCTGCCACCTCAACTGAAACTACCCCACTCCTGTCCTTTACATTTAGATAAGGTGTCAAAAAGAGATTGGGGAAGTTTTTTTTAATTTGGTTGGAGAAATTCTGACTCGATTATTTCTCTCCACATAAATTAGGGCATGTTTGGTACGGATTCTCATTTTCTACAGTAAATCAATTCTCATTTTCAATCACACATTCTTCAATAAAATAATATTTTCCATCACATCAATACTTTTTTCTTCTTTTCTAACCACACATTTCTCATCTTATCACTATNACACATTCTTCAATAAAATAATATTTTCCATCACATCAATAATTTTTTCTTCTTTTTCAACCATACATTTCCAATCATATCACTATTCAAAATCAATTTTTCCCCCAAAAAAATCCCTACCAAACAAGCTCTTAATATACATCAACGATTTTCATCAACGAAAATGTTGGCATTGGCAACGGAAGATCGTGCAAATTATTTCATAGTTTCTCAGAAATTTTGTCAAAGGCCATCAAATTATTTGTATGATTAAAGTGCCTTATCTATAAGTTTAAATGATTAAAAGAATAAATTTATATATTTTAAGTTTACTTTCAAGCATTAGTTTATTGTCGTATCTTTCTTATTCACCACGTGTTGGTTACTCATTAGTACCTATTTAAATTGCAATATGTGTGCATGTAATAATACGTATATTCGCTAAGGAAACAGGCAGTAGATATCTAACCAAGATTCT